CCATTCTTCGAGTATAAAATTGGAAGAGGACGTAATTTCCTACCGAATGAGCAAAAAACAGATATTTTCATGCATGTTTTCCATGAAATATAGTTGCATTATTAAGGACATCGACAATCAATGAGGACAACGCATGTTACTTTAGCAGTCGTTTTTTTACTGAGTATTGATTTAGCATGCCGCCAAAAAGACGTTCGTTCGAAAACCGGCATCTGGAGGTAACTGAATTATTATAGACTTATTATGCGCGGTGATTAGTTTTACAACTTTATGTGATTATTTTTTTCGAAACAAAACTCATTTCGGAATTTCCGTTGACATTACATTACTGTAGTTCAAACACCAAATTAAATAATTGAGGATTCAGTTATCGAATTTAGTACAAGGATGAAGTCATATCAGGAATATATTTGCTGCGTAACGGCGTCGATCCGGCGCCCAGCCTATCCGTGATTAAATTCACACCCGTCATATATGCCAACCGACACAAATTTCTTTCTAGTCAGTAGCATTTCCTTGTACTTCAGCTTCATTCCACTGTATGACTAGAGTAGTTTTCAGTCCCTATTCAGATAGACTCGACTTCTTTTTCTTCTCCATCTTACGATATGTGCATGGCCCCGTAATATGCATGCTTTGGAGGGGCAGAGAGCTCATCGTAATGCACTTCATTTTTTTGCCACCAAAAAGAGGAGAACATTTGAGGTGTACGGTTTCGTTGTTTGGTTTTCTACCTCACTGGAGAGAGCGGAAGACTTTATGGGCTCCTCTGATTTAGCCACCCATATCCCTGGGGGCGCCGTCCAGCTGCTTCTCACCTGATCTCGATCACAGCGTGAACCTGCTGCCACTTGAGCTCTCATCCGGTGGTCCCCCGGGACGCTGGGTGTGCTACCCTTCCTCAAGTGGCCCACTAGTGTGGTCCCCCGGTTCCGGTGGCTGCCGTTCATCCGTCCTTATTAGCTCCGTGAGCAGTTCTCACTCGACGAACACTTTCAGACAGAGCAAGATGATCTTGCCTCCAACTCCAACTCCTCATAACGCCCGGGGCGATTGGATAGAAAATAGGGGAGCAGAGGGCGAAGGGCAAGTAGGCGGAGGGACTCACTAGGGGGTGCCTCGCGGGCCCCTACTATCTAGAATTCCCTCCTCATCCGCCAGACCTTGCTTTTAATTAAAAGGGACCTCCTAGTTAAGACTTTCTACCCTTGGACCCCCGTAATTTTTTTATCAGGTGGGGCTTAGAGGATTTTTATTAATGTAGAAAACTCTTTCCTGGACACAGGAATCAAGAGAGGGGTGTCCAGGTTTTTCGTTTATTAGAGGCATTTTCGACCTAGTGGATTACCTGAAGAGACGCCACAGATGCGGAGGGTGTGTACACTGGGAGTTTATGATTCAGTCCAACGTATATGCTCTATAACCGAATATGGGTGCTGTATATTATCGCCAGTCACCGAAATCGACTGCTCTGAGGGAAAGCGGATTAGTCGCCAAATATGACAACCATTTTTGTCTTGCTCATTAAAATTAATTTTAAATCTCATCCTTGGGAGTCCTGTCCTATCTTAAATGTCAGACCAGTCTGAGAGATTTTTATAAAGAAAACTGTTAATGCAAACAGAAGTCTTCAAAAATCCTAAAATAGGTGTCGATAGTCAGTCGGTACTACTAGAACAGCCGTCGGTCGGATGTGGTTATGTAGCCCCGCCTGAAGTACACGAACCCCAGCCACCTGTAACACAGGACCGGTGGTAATAGGGGTTTTTACGGGTGGGGTCGGAGAACGCACAGGCGACGAGGCCAAGGAGATGTATGCGGAACAAATGCTATTGGGAATGCGCATGTGTGCTTTGAGTGGCTGGGAAGTAGTAGCCTTAACCCCTAACTCTGCCCCCTCGCCTAACCCCTCACCATAACCCGAACCCCAGCCCCCAACCATAACTTCTAACCCTAACCCTTAACCCCAACCCCAACTGTAATGTGTCCTGCGGACTCGTCGATGAAAGAGAAAGAGCACATAGCCATTTTTAGATTTGGAAGATTTTAAAATTAGGTCTACCACTTATTGATCATGTTGCTATTAAATTGGACACTACTTCTCTGGCAATGGTTTCCTTTAGCTAACATGACTATCCTGTTTTAGTTTTTTATGATAATAGGTGTAGTAGTAGTAGTAGTAGAAGTTGTTGTAGTAATAGTAGTAGTAGTAGTAGTAGTAGTAGTAGTAGTAGTAGTAGTAGTAGTAGTAGTAGTAGTGACAACAGAATGATGTTGCTGGTCTTCCTATTATTGTCATCATAAATACCTAGCGCTGACACTATTGCTCTGTTCATAGCTATTCGACCTATTCCGACCCATAAAATTGCTGTAATTATCAGAACCTGACTGCTGTCATTTCCTCCACTCCCATTACTGTTGTTGTGATCACCGAAGGTGAAGACAGTATCTTGGACAGCCCATCCAAGTTTCCAATTTAAGACCACCAAGAGCAGTAGAGGGGTACAACGTCAAACTCCTCGACCGGTGGGGCCCACTTCTGGACCACAAATTCGACAACTTCGCTTTCACCAGTCCTAGGGGTGTCCCGAAAATCCCACGAGGATTGCGCATAAAGTATATTTATGCATCGAAAAATTGCCATTAGGCTCTGAAGGATAAGTACTTGGCGTAAAACACAGACTGCCATCTAAACTACAACATATAAGAACTC